GCCCCCTCCCGGGGCTGACCGCGTCGTCAAAGGTGAGAGGTGGCCGAAGCCCTGGGGGCCTGGCGTGAGGCGCGGTGTGAGGGAGGGCGGGAGCCCGTCCCCTCGGGAGCGGGCCGGCAGGACGGGCGAGTGACTGGCTGCCTCCCTTGGGGAGTGGCCCCGGGGCGGGCCCCCGCTGGGCTGGGCTGTGGCGGTGGTGCGGCGTCGTGGCGCCGCGGTCTCCCGCTCGCTTGCAGGCCGGGCGGTGGTTTGGCGCCGGCCATCCTCCCGGGGTTCGGGGCTGCCGGCCGCGGTCAACACCGCTGCTCTGGTACCCGCGGCGCACGGCCCGCCGCGAGCTTCCGGCTCCGCGACAGCTGCACCCCAAGGCTGCCCCAAGCTCGGGGCCCCTCAGCCTCGCGGGGCCGGCTGCGAGCGAGCATGGCTTGGGCCGCTGCCCACGCCGGCTCCCCGGTGACAGCGCCCGCCCTGCGAGCTCCTGCCGTGGAGTTCTCCCTCGGCATTCCGGCGCCTGGGACCCGGGGAAACCATACGGGATTGGACCAGGGGAAGGATCGGGTCTTTAAAGTGCAGACGGCAGAGAGAAAGCAGCGCTATAGAAAGAAAGAAAAGAAAAAAGAAAAAGGCGCGTGTAGGAATGAGGATTTACTTAGGAACACCAACACTGGTCAAAAAGGGTTTCCCGTCATCTCAAACGCATACCACATACTCACTGTAGAAGAAAAAGTTAAATATTTCTGAGCCAGGGCAGAATTTATGTATGGTGATCACAGGTAAGCATATTATTTTAAAATAGAGAAATTGACAGGCAGTTACTTAAAATTCCTCCCTGTCTGTGAGAGACCACCAACTTCAGACACTACTGTGATATTAAAAACAGAATTTGAAATTCTTTTTCTTTACTGTGTTAGGTGGTCAAGAAACTGAAATCGTAAAATATTTTATTTTTAGTAACGTTTATTTTTCAAGATACACGCTTTTTTTTTTTTCTTTTTTCTTTTGTCTGTTTGAAGCAGGGTCTCCCTGTAGCCCCAGCTGGCCTGGAACTCACTATGTAGACCAAGGCTGGCCTTGAACTCATAGAAATCTGTCTGCCTCTGCCTCCCAAGTGCTGGGACTACAGGCGTGTACCACCACGCCGGGCTAAGATACATACTTTTTTAAAAAAATATTTTATTTTATTTTTTGGTCTTTTTGAGACAGGGTCTCCCTGTAGCCCCAGCTTTCCTGGAACTCACTGTGTAGACCAGGCTGCCCTTGAACTCACAAAGATCCGCCTGCCTCTGTCTCCCAAGAGCTGGGACTACAGGCGTGCACCACCATGCCCAGCTTACTTTATTTTTATGTGTATGTGTGTATTGCCTGCATGTAGGTAAGTGCACCCGAGTTGTGCAATGCCCCAGGAGGACAGAAGAGGCTGTCGAATCCCCTGGGACTGGACTTACCAACAGTTGTTAGCTGCCATGTGGGTGCTGGGATTCGAACCTGGGTCTTCTGCAAGAACAGCCAGTGTTCTTAACAGATGAGTCTTCTCTCCAGCCCCAAGATAGATAACTCTTATTTTTAAATTCAGCTTCTCAAATACACTTGCACAGTGTTTAAACACTGTTAGCTTAGTTTTGAAATGTGACCCTGCCTTTCCATTAAAATATTTCAAAACCAGAAAACTTTTTTCCTTTGTGTGTTTTCCTTTTAAATTTAAAAATTTTCAATCTGAGTTTTTGGTTTTTAAAAGAATGACACTGATTTGTACTTAGTGTTATGTGTTTGGCCTAGGCATTGGAACGGTTTATAGACTCCTTTTTCTGAGA